AGCATGAAACAGAAACTGGATATTAATATACTCTAAGAAGCCATAGTGTACCACCCTTAATAACAGAAAAGAGATCTATAATTATAGCATAAACATTAACACACATCAAATATTTACCTACAGTAAATATTTACTAAACACAACAACTATACCTCCACTAAAGATAGAACTCAATGGTAATGGTATAGATTAACTATCTAAATATTAGTAAATTTTAATGGTTATACTAGTAAAGATAGAGGCAGTGGGTCAATGGGAGAATAAGAAAGTAAAATTTGAAAAATTAAGCTATGGAAGATGAGAGAAAAGTGAGATAAAGGATCCTAGGAGTAAAAACAAATTAATAGAATTAGATAAAAGTATCTGAAACGCACAAGGAAAAAAGATCAAAGCAAAGCAAAAGTGTAAGAAAAAAGAAATAATTCAAAGGAAAAAAAAAAAGAAAAATGGACAAAAGCCCCACAAATCTCAAAAAGCCAATGAAGAAAATGAGTTTAAAAAAAAAAAAAGTCCTGTGTATTTTTGGACAAGTGGTTTCTTTCCAGTGTTTGCAACTTTGGAATCCAGCACCTCAGCTTTCCGCATCCAGATGTAAGACCTCTAGATTTGTGAAATTCTTCTGTACCCTGGAGGCCCCTTCATCTGTACACCCCAGACTGTGGCAACTGTCAAACTGAGGTGTTTTCTTGTTTAATTCAGAGATGGGGAAAGCAATCAGACCACTGATCTGTGCTCAATGTAGGTTAGGAGTTCAATCAGACTGGTGGACTTACTGCCAGCACTTTCAGATCCAGCTGCCTCTGAAAGCCACACACACCAGGCCTGGACTCTCATCACGTTGTTAACTTTTGTCTTTTGTTGTTTTTTTAAAATTTTTTGTCACTTTTATCTATTAATTTCTTTTTATTCCTTAATAAGATCCTGTGTATCACCTTTCGCTCCTTGATCTCATCTTTCATTAATTTTTGACATTTTACTTTTTCCACTTCCCCATTCTTCACCCCCTCTAAATTTACTAGTATAACCATTAAACTTTGTTAGTTTTTAACTAGGTGTATAGTTAACACTATACTATTACTGTTGAGTTCTATTGTTGCATTTAGATTTTTTTTGGTAACGGGGATCGTTTTGGGTCCTGTGCTTGCAGCAAGTCAAAGTGGTGGAACCACTGAGCTAAATGCCTAGCCCTAGCTGTTGCATTTAGTAGATATTTACTGTAGGCAAATATTTGGTTTGTTTTAGTGTTTATACTATGTTTACAGATCTCTTTTCTATGGGTAAGGGTTGCCAAAGTGTTTAAGCAAATTCTTAGGCATACATTACTGTTTATGACAATATTTAGTTTGACTTTGATGCTCTTGTTGCTAATTCTGTTGCTGTCAGGGAGGCATAGTTACTATTAATTGGTTTTCTCTATATGTTAATATCTGGATTGCCTCTGTGTCATTAACAGTACTGTTGCCCACTCCTAGAGAACTGAGTGCTGGGTAATTACACTGCAGCCTCCACTCCCAAGTTAACAGAAGTGGCTGGTTCTTAAAGACAGCGGGAAGGGCCTATTAAGTATCCACACCCAGAGTGCAGCACTGGAAAGAGGACACAAAAGAGGTCTCCATATTAGCAACAAAGTCTTTCCAGTATAATCAACCTGCAAACCTCAGCAAAAAAATAAATAAACGAGGTGAGGCCATGAGTTCAACTCCTAGTACCATAAATAAATAAATAATAAAATTTTTATTAAGAAAAAATGAAAAAGGGCTGGAGATTTAGCTCAATGGTTCTGCCACCTGCCTTGCAAGCACAAGGACCCGAGTTCGATCCCCAGTACCAAAAAAAAAAAAGGCCAATACCGCCCCCAGAAAAAAAAAAAAAAAAAAAAAAAAAAAAAAAAGAAAAAAGAAAAAATGAAAACTCTGATGGCCTGGTTGATAACTAAGGCTACGTTTGTTATATCCCCTTAGAATGCAATCATAAAATCTTTCCCACATTACAATTCACCAGAACTTTTTAAAAGGTGAGTTTAACTTTCCAGTGTTATGAAATATTAGAATATTGGAATGAAATATGCATGTAAAGAAATAACTAAAGCTCTCCACAATTAAGAAAACAGATTTGCAACTGGACATGGTGGTGCACACCTGGGATCCCAGCTCTCTGGACTACATCCTAAGACCAATCCCCTCTCAAAAAAAAAAAAAAAAAACAGACACAGATCTGATATACTTCTTGGTTGCCTGCTTAAGCAGCTTCAGAGATATACAACTAAGAGGGGCTGGGGATTTAGTGTAGTAGCACGGCACCTGCCTCACAAGCACAAGGTCCTGAGTTCTATCCCTGGTACTGGGAAAAAATAAAAAACGATATGCAACTAAGTTTGAGTTCAGAAATGTCTGCACAATCAGTATAGCACAAATACTTCATAAGATCATCACTATAAGGATGAAAACCATATTGTAGGTATTGGATTAAAGCACAAGAATGTAATAAATGACAGAGGGTACTGGTTATTACAATTATAAGGTTAGCAACTATCTTTTTGAAGCAGTTTTGCATTAACCTTAGCTCTAAGATTTTGTTATTGAGTATCCACGCCTACACCTAAGTGTTCAGGTCAGTTAAGAGTGGGCCAAACTGCAAAAGAGGCTGTCCTAGGGGCCGGGGATTTAGCTCAGTGGTGCCACCGCCTGTCTCTCAAGTGCAAGCAAGGTCCTGAGTTCAATCCCCAGTACCAAAAAAAAAAAAACGGGGGGGGGGCTGTCCTGTCTTCTGATGTCAAGTTTGGAGGTGTTTGTAAAAATCACTCTCAGGTTTGATATTCACTAGAACCCAAGAACTCAATGAAAGGTATTACTACAGGGAAAATATAGATTAAAACCACCCAAGGTAAGCATGTACGGTAGTCTCAGTGCTCCTCTTCCTCTGGAGCTGAGGCACATTATTCTTCAATGTGTGGAAACTGAACAAAGCATTGCTAACCAGGGAGGCCAGTTTGAATCTCATAATCAAAGATTTTACTGGGGCTCCTTTGCCTAAGTATGACTTATGGCCTGAATACTGTCTCAGCTGCAAGGGGACTGACACCACGTGACCTCAAGCCCTCACTCTGGATCACACAGTTGTTTTTTATGGCAGGGCTGGCTCCATCCTGAGCTTTCGAGGGTTTCTTCCTAAATAACTATGACATACATTGGCTTCTAGAGGCTGAGGGCAAAGGCCAGATCTGTCTTGGGGAAGGTCAAGATCAGTTTTTTGGGCAGGGTGGCAGGGCAGTGCTACTTGGGAGTGAACCCAGGGCCTTGTACTGAGTGGCCCCCAGCCCTCTTAAAATTTTAAAACAGTGTCTTGCTAAGGTGATAGGTTGCCCAGGCTGGGTCAAACCTGTGATCCTCTTGCCTAACCCTTCTAGAGTGCTGGGTTTACAGGCAAGCACCACCACACCCAGCAAGGCTGAATTCTTTATTGCACATCACTATTTCTTTCCTCTGTACTTGTGTAATTACACAAGATGTACCACCCTAAACTTGACATCTTATATGTTCTCAAATGACCACCTCTTCAGCTTTGACTTTGTAGTGCTTCTTTCAACCTTGTTTTCCTTCTCCAAATGAGTGCTTAAATGTACTGAAATACTATGTGTGGGGTGCGGGGTGGAAGGGTATGTATTTTACTAGGGAATGAAACCGGGGCCCTTACGCTGACCTACATTTCCTGCCCTTTTTAAAAAATTTAGGTCTTTTTTTTGAGACAGGATCTTGCTTATGTAGTTCAGGCTGGCCTTGAACTCAAGACAATCCTCCTGTTTTAGCTTCCCCAGTGCTTGGCATGTGCCACCACACCCAGCCAACACCACACCCAGTTAAATTACTCAAATTGGGTGGAACTTGGAATACTCAGGCCTCAGGCTTCCAGACTGCTGGATTTTTTAAAGTACACTCTAAACATAATCAAAAAAAGCATTTTAAAATCTGTCCCCACTATCTCTACCCAGTGCAACACAACACAGCCTTCCTTTTTGTACCTTAAGCCATATTTTCATCCTCTATTACCTGCAGTATTTTGGCCTTAGCAAATCATACTGTGTGTGCATACATATATGTGTGTGCATGTTGCACTGGGGTCTAAACCCAGGACTTTAGCACTGAGCTCCATCTTCACCCCTTTTTTACATTACTATTTTTTTTTAATTTTGAGACTGGATTCTGCTAAGTAACTAAATTGCTCAGGCTGGGCTTAAACTGTCAAAACCCTGCCCTGGCAGAAGAGAAAAAACTTCCCAAGCAATGCAGCTACACATCGTGCAAGATGTGAAGGATAACAGGAAGCCAAGGCCCTGGTTCAAGATAAACAGCTCACGCCATGCAGGAATACCTGCAGATCTAGATACCCCTGAAGGCTACCAGACTTCTGCTCCAGAATAAAAAACTTCCTCCACTCCCAAAACAAAATTTACCACTCCTCCTGGCACTACCTGTCCTCCCCTCCCCAAACTCCCCTATAAAGTTTCCCCCTGGCAAAGTCCCAGGGTCAGTGGCTTTGTTGCCCTTGACTAGCTTGTAGCCAAGCTAAATATAAAACCTCATTTGTTGCTTCATTTTTGCCTACCTTGGTGGTCTCGGTCATGCCTTGGTTTACCCTAACAAATTTGATGATTCTCCCCTCTCAGCCTCTCAGAGTGCTGGGATTTCTGGTGTGTACCAGCACTTGGCCCATACCTTCATTTTATACAAATGCTTTACAAAATTGGTTTGGAATTCCTTTTGACTTTCATTTATATTCTTTAATTCTGCATGGCAAAATATATCTATTAGGCAAATGAACACTCAATAATTCCTTTACGATAATTTTAAATTAATCACCTGTCAACAACTTTGGAAGTGGCAAGAAATGACTTACAGATATACTTAAAAATACTGGGCCTGGGGTATAACTCATTGGTAGAGCACTTGCCTAGCAAGTAAACAAAAAAATTAATGATTTGGGAATGCAGGTACGGCTCAGTGGTAGAATGTGTGCTTAGTTTAAGTGACGCCCTGGGTTCAATCCCCAGCAACAAAACAAAACACTGAACTGGAGGCTAACTTCAATGGAATGTTTCTCTGGGCAATTTTCATTTTGTCATTTGTTCCATACTTCCTCTTTCCTGATCTGTGGCAGCCTAACTGGGGCATTCAGAGGCATCCAGCTCATCTCCAATTGTATTTTTTCTGCCAGCAAAATGAGCTCTAGAATAAAGTAGGATCAAACAGTTGAATCAACAGAAAATGCCTCTCAAAGGGAAGGATGGACAAACTTTTTAGATTGAAAATACACTCAAGGACCTGTCTGGGTACTGCATAAGATGGAGTGTGTAGCTAGCAGGCCAATAAACAGAGCTGCACTGCAAATCAAGAGGCTGGGTTCTTGCAGACATTTTCAGTAACTGGAAGCATTTATTCAAAAGCAACGCTAAATGCCAATTTGTGGTGAAAGAAATGTGGCTAGTGACAAAAATCACAATTAAATATATGTAAATATGAGTATTACATTGTCATGTAGAAATAAAACACTTTAGAATCTGAGAAATCTTGAAGATCTTCTAATTAGTCGAATTGTCTCAGTGAATAAATTAGCAAATTTTGAAATAACCAGCCATTGCACATTAGTATTACAGATAATTTTAAAATTAACTCTCGGGTGGCTTTTAAACGTTTTCCACTTTTACATCACATTAGATATTGATTACATGAAAGCGGATCTTCCCACTTCACAGCTTATGTTAGATTTAACAGTCTCTTCACTGACTCTTTGTACCGAGAAAGGGTAACTTCATTTTCCCCCTCATTCTTAAGACTAACAAGAGATTTTTGGTAATATTCAACCTCTTTAGTTCCAAGGAGCTCTTCTTCGTTTACTTCTGGATTTTTCTCAGCAGCGCTAATCTGGAGAAGTGTTTCCAGGACATTTTTTTTTGAGGAGCTATTTTCCCATATATATTCTTCCATTTCTGCTTCAGTCTTATTTTTTTCCCATTCTTCAGTTTTCTGAAAGAAAAAAATAAGTTCTGAATTCTGAAAAGTGTTACCAAAGATAATTTGTTTGTCTGTTCACTTATTTTAGTGAATAAAATAGAAGTCTGCGAGACATGGGCAGCCCCGGTCACCACTCAGCTGCACTCCACCTGACCCTACTAAGGACTGCTGGCCTGGGCCTGGCTGAAGGGCTGCATGGGGTTCTGTGAACACCAGGCACACAAGCTCTATCACCCCTCACTAGATCTGTCTACAAAAGTGACAACTGATTTGCCTTGCAAATTTCACTTATAAAACTATCCTGATTACCAATATATACAGAAAACTTTTGCAGGTTAAAATAATGGGAGTTGAAAGGAAACTTTATCATTGTACATGGTTGTGGGAATGACAGGGCAAAACAACTGATATCTTGCCAAAAATTGCCTCCGATGATGGACATGGAACTACAGGACTTAATGTTTGCCCTGCTGGATTTTGGGCTTGCTTTGGTCCCATTCCTTTGTATTCCCCTATCTGTCTCTTTTGGAATAGAAACGTCTGTCTTGTGCCATTAAATGCTGACGTGTTTAACACTCTTTTCATTTGTAAAGGGGCTTGCAGCTAAGAGTTTGCCTAAAATCTCAGAGGGGACTTTGGACTTTTCAGCAACACTGAAACTGTTAAGACTTTGGCAACTCTTAGAGATGGACTAAATGCTTTCTGCATAAAGAGATGCGCATGAGTCTTTGGTGGGGCTAGGGGTGGAATGTTATGGCTTCTGTCTGGATGTCCCCCCAAAACCTCATGCAGTCATAGAAGGGGGCTTTTCAGAGGTGGCTGGATCTAGAGTGTGTGATGGTGGGATCAAGGGTGTATGGTTACTAAATAAATCCATTGGTTAGTTTGGCATAGTTCCAGCTAGGATTAAGGGTGTGAATGCTACACCTGCCTAGGGCTAGCGGCCTGCATAAAATATAAACAGGAAGGTTAATGTGCTCTCACTTGCCTGCTTGCTGTGGACTCTTTCTCCTCTTCAATGCCCCTGTGCCATGTTACCCTGCCTTGAAACCAGCCGACTATGGACAGAAACCTCTACAAACTGTGAACCAAATAAACCTTTCCTCCTTTAACTTCAGGTGTCAGGTAGTCTGTCTCAGCAAGGAGAGCACAAAAGAGATGTAACATTCTGTGAAAAAGGAAGCAACAGGGCTAACAAATAATATGAGGAGTCAGTCGACTATGGACTGAAACCTCTACGAACTGTGAACCAAATAAATCTTTCCTCCTTTAACTATGGGTGTCAGGTATTTTGTCTCAGTAAGGAGAAAAGTAAACAAACAATAGAGATGAAACATTCTGTGAAAAAGAAAGCAGGGACTAAACAAATAATGTGCAATGGTTTACAGAAGTGGTGAATACCTGTCATGTTCTTTCCAAATTAATACACAATACCTGAGCATGGGTACTACAGAATCACTCACCATTCTGAGTAACAGCTTTTAACGGTGCTAACATATTACAACACAGGTACACTCTTCAGGCTGTCAGAAATATTGCTGTACCTCCAAACCACAATGAAAGAGCCCCAGCTTGAGCAGAGATCCAAGGCTCCTCAGAATTAGCTAAGTATATGCCAAGCAACAGTCCATGGTTCCACCAACTGCCACCCTCCTACCCTTTTCCTCTTTAGAAGAGCTCATTAAAAAATGAAAACAGAGGGGCCCCACCAAACACAGGCCACTGGGGCCACCCTGAATCAGCAAACCCACTTGGATCATTAAGGGCCAAGAAAGAGGTTCTACCACCACAGACCAGCAAGAAGAAATTCTCCTTCGAATCCTTCAAACTGAGCATCTTTCCTTAAAATAAAACAAAACTATGCAGGGTATCTTCCCTGATTTCCAAATTTCCAAGCCAAAGAAATCTGCATTCATAATTCCTGCATGTATGCCCCACCCTGCTGAACTGAATTTAGGGCTGGAACAGTGCCCTAGCTTATGCTTTAGCAATATCTTATTCAACTGAGAATCAAGTCTATGTGCCCTTTTCGTCTGGTAGGGAGGTGACAAGCTTGGTGAGGGGCGAGGCAGGGACTACTCTTCCTGTGCCTCTCCCCCAGAATGCTTTGCAAATAATTTCTGTCTTTGTCACTGATCTAAAAGAGATATTTTTCTTTTTCTTTTTTGTGGTGCTAGGAATTGAACCCAAGATATCACTTTAAAACAACTGTGATTAATCTGTTAAAGAAAACAGAGGGAACAAAGCAATATGAATTTTAAAATGAAGAATTTCAACACAGAAATGGTAACTGTAACAAAAATTCAGCTGGGTATAGTGGAATACACACCTGTAATCCCAGCACTCCGGGAGGCTAAGGCAGTATTGCCCCAGCCTTGGCAATTCATCAAAATCCTGTCTTAAAAGAAAAATCTAAGGATTTAGCCCAGTGTAAAGGGGACAGGGCTCAATCTCTGGAACTGGCATAACGGGGAAGGGGATATCAAATGATAATCTAGAAAGACACTGTGTCTGAAATTAAATCAATGGGTATGTATAAAAAGCACTCTGAATATAGCAGAAGGCAGAATTAGAGAACTCAGAGAATCAAGCTACATGGTGACAACAATCAAATCTGTACTATGAGATTCTGAGGCCTTTTTTATGCTGTATAATGAAACTCCCTCAAGGCTAGCCTGAACTACACAGTGTGATCCTGTTCCAAAAAAAAAAAAAAAAAAAAGCAAAAAAATAATTAACTTCCTCTAAGGTTTATGGCAATTCTATTCAACAAATCCAATACTGGAAGGATAACTCTTAAATATTGTAAACAAATAAAAATTTAAAAAAAGTTTTAAGTTTGCAAAAACATCTTTTGGGGAATTAAAAAAATTCATAATTTTGCTCTAACTTTTAACTGTAAAACCTACGGTGCTAAATTTACAAAAAGAGAAATAATTAGGCACCACGTATTTTTCTGGTGAAAGTCCATAATACCAACTATGAAGTACTTTTACCCAAAAAAAACTAGTGTCTGATTTAGCCTTTAGTTCCAACTATCAACTCAAAGGAAATATAAGTTAGAGATGCTAGCACATACATGTAATTACAGCACTCAAGCACAGCTTGGGCAATTTAGTGAGACCATGTCTCAAAATAAAAAATAAAATAAAAAGCTTAGGAACTCAGTCAGTGGGAAGACCCAGGTTCAATTATTAGACCCTGATTCAAAAGGAAATATAGGTAAAGTTATAAATGCTACATCATGGAGATAAAAATAAACAAAACCCAAATGACAGAAAAGCCTACAAAAAACAAAACAAACATAAAATTTCTTCAATAAATCAACTGCAAGAAAACAGACTGTAACCATTAAGAGACATTCTATCAAAACATATTTATCAAGGGGCTACCAATGTGCCTAGGTTTATGAGAAACAAGGAAGTATCATTAGGCTATTTTATTAGTCAGCAGGGGAGAAATACCTGACACAGTTTAAAGGAGAGGTTTATTAGGGGTTTCAGTACATGGTCAGACAGAAGGGCATGGCAGAGAACAGGTGCTAACCTCAAGAAGCACAGAGGGTTGGAAAGATCCAAGTAAGTGTCCAGGAACCAGCTGGGGTCCCCAAGGTCACACACCTATGGCCCAGCCAGACACCCAGAAGAGTGCTTTACTAATAGAGGGAGCTCTCAAGCCTCTCAAGTTGACAATATTAAACACAGACACTCTAGCTAAAAACTAATGTTTCTATGTCTGAATACCTTAGAAAAAGGTACATTTGGGCTTATTTATATTAAACTGAAGTTTTTCTTCAGATGAAATAAAAAAGTTCACTAAAGTAAAATCACCTTATTACTCAAACATGATACTGATACTAACAAATTAATTTATATGCCAATCATTCTAAATGAAGCTACTATTGGCTAAATACATTTTTGTTTTTGTGATTAAAATAATTCTTACAGGGCTGGGGTGGTTCTGCTGCTGCCTTGCAAATGCAAGGTCCCAAGTTCGATCTCCGGTACCAAAAAAAAAACCAAACAAAAAAAAACCCAAAAACTTACAGAAAATACCAGCAATATACAGAATTAAAAAGTAATGGGGCTGGGGATTTAGCTCAGTGGTTCTGCTGCCTGCCTTCCAAGCACAAGGACCCGAGTTCAATCCCCGGTACCAATAAATAAATAAACAAACAAACAAATAAATAAATAAATGAATAAATGAATGAATGAATGAATGAAAAACAAAAACAAAAAAACAAAAAGGCATCATTTTGGGCCCAGGGATTTAGCTAGTGGTTCTGCTGCCTGCCTTGCAAGCACAAGGACCTGAGTTCAATCCCCGGTACCAAAAAAAAAAAAAAAGTAATAAACTCCCATGTGCCAATGAACTCATGGCCTATCTTACTTCATACACACCTCTATGTACTGCCTCCTTCCCATGCCTTCATCAAATTATTTAGAAGAAAATACTGCCATCTAATTTATTATATATAGTTATTTTTCTTTAAAAATTAAGGAATACTTAAAATCCCTATTTAAATTCATTTGGTGGTGCTTTGATTCACAAGATTCTAACACAGGTGAGTTTTTCCATAAATTCAACTTAAAAGCCAGCAGTTGCTGTCTGCAGCTCCTTGGCTCGTGATAGTCACTGTGGCTGTCTGGCCAACACTGAAGGAAGCCTGACCCAAGCAGAGTACCCCCCTTGGAGCTTGACTCCAAAGAAGGAACTCAGTTTAATTTTGAAGTTTTGTCTCTCTCCTTGCCCCCTGCCCTTGGTAGCTGGTCGTATAAAATCTGTACTGAAGTTTACACCTTTGGAATGGGAGCCTGGAGGGGAAGAGGAAATCAATGTAGAGAGACAATGAGGCCCAACTCCCTAAAAGTAACCCAAAGATGAAGGGTCCCTGCACTGCCCCAGCTCCTACTCATGGCATCCCTGCCCTCTTAGCATCCCTGCCCTTATCTCTTCTGTTTATGTGAGCTTGAGTAGTCTGCGACTCTCAGGAGTCTTAATGGATATATGGT